ATACTGAAGTTAATCACGGAAAATAGGGGCTGGAAGGGCGACATGAGAGCGACACATTTATTTCACTATTATATCACAGACAACATTAAGTATCCACTGAGTACCTCAAGGCAGAATTCTTGCATAAAAAGCATCCCCATTTATCAAGCATGATAGAACCTGCAACTGTTCTATAAATAAAGGGTATTTACAAAGAGAGTTGTTAAATATTTATTTTTCTCTGAAGACTGAGTTCTCTGTTCATTTGTCTCTACTGCAGAATCCTCTGGTATCAGGGAGCAGAGGAGCTCACCTAAAAAAAGACTAGGATTCCATCCAGAGCCTGATCTGGACACAGCACCAGCCTCCTCCACGAGCTGGCAAGGGAAAAGCATCCAACCTGACAGAGAGGAAACATGAAGCAAGTAAAATGGGAATGATCTCATCTGCGAGGCAAAGGTAGAAGAAGGAATACCAGTGACAAAGTAGCAATTAATAAACACCATCATATCGCTTCATCCTTAGAGAGCTGCCTTGGCACTGTACACTGAAAGAATTGACAACCTTCAATTGTGAAGAGTAACTGCAGATTTGCATTGCATTTGCTTTGTGTCTTGGAAACAAGAATATGTTTCTCACAACCAATAAATTAATGATTTTTGTTTTTTTTTAATTTTTTGAAGCTGACAGATTGGAGTGGGGGACATGACACCGACCCAACCAAAAGAGGTGACTCTGAAATGCACTTCATTGCTAACCCTTTGTAGTAGTAATTGTAATAGTTCTTACTCCAGCCTGCCAAAAGCTGTTTTAATTAAATATTAAAAAGCTATTTGTTAAAATAACATTGCCATAGCAACTAGAGAAAGCTAAAATACCCTGGCGCTTCTGACTCACAGCATATTAATCAACCAGCAGCTATTATATAATGAGCACCCCCTTGGAAGCGCTGGCAGGAGCCACAGCACTAAATGCTGGAATCCAGAGCCCCCGGGCTGGTCAGTGCTCCCTGCCACACTGCTCTGTGTGCTTGCTGCCTGCTCCCAGCTCAGGCAGGGCTGGGTGGTTGTCTGGGCTCATCCCACAAATCACAGGCCCAAATATTTTGGGGAAGCCATGCTGGAGCACTCTGGGTCAGTACGTTCCCATAGGGGCACAGAGAACGGATAGCCCTGGGCAAGGGGAATTTTGGTGAGGGCATCATGGATGGTGGCTCCCCACATGACCGCAGCAGCAAGGGGTTTAGGTGGCTCCTGCCCAGCAAGCCCTGACCACCTGCCTGTCTTGCAAATGCAGCACTTGTACCAGATCTATTTCTGTAAATTTTTTTTTTTAATTATTGGAATTACTTCTTGCAGCAAGCACCTTCCTACCATCAGGCCAACTGTGCAAAACTCCGAAGGAGTGGAGATTAAACCCTGCAAGGGCAAACAAGCTCTGCTGCTCACCCAGAATAGCTCGTTTTACAGATTTAAAAACCCAAAACAGAACAAAGAACCACAAACAACCACTCCCGCATCACATCTAAACCCCCCAGAAGATGAAAAAACCTTTCTACACTCTGTCCATGCACCACAAGAATGGCAACCTCATCCATCCAGCAGTCAAAGCTGGCTGACCTGTGGCTCCTGCTGGCACTCACTGCCAGTCCCTGGGAGGCTTTGCCCTGGGGACATAGTTCATATTAAGAGGCAGTGGAATATCTCCTATTGCCTTTCCATGCTGGACCATCACCATGTGGTCTGCAACGATGGGAACAGCTGCAGGAGAGAGTTCGGTAGTTGAGGTCCAGAGCAATGTTGGCTTAGGGGAAGAGTACTGGGAGACAGAAGTGCAGCTGTGTTGCTCAGATGGAGTTGGGAACCACCTTCCTCCCCCTAAATGACTCAATTTTTTGCTTTAAGTCCCCTTCCTCTTTTTTCCAATGGAAAATAAATACCTAACCATGTAGTTATTAACCAAAAGGAATGTGATTAATATTACAGCATTTGTATGCCAGTTTCACTTTCCTACTGCTTTGTTTGGGTGTCACAGGCTGTGACTATGACAACCACAAGCAGTTATTGGACTGATGTCATTTGTGACATCATACTTAATGGAAAAGAAGAGGAGGAAGAGACACTATCAAAAATAAGAACGGAACAAAACCTGCTTTCGCCTCTTCTGGCACCATCAGTTCCTGTCTACAGAGTCAGATCCCAAAGGACCACCACACTGGGGCTGCAGGAGAGCCAGGCAGCAGCAACCCTGTTTTTACCAAAACCTGGGCAGCACTCAGCTCTTGGGAAAACCTGCCCTCTTTCCACCCCTCAGCTGAGATATGAACTGCAAATCTGCAGTTACATGGAAGAAATCTCCTCATCCCTTCTCAGCTGTGAACTGCAATGGAGGCTTTTGGCTAAGCCTCATCTCTCCTGACTGCTCTCCAACCAACTTCTCCTCCACATCTCTATTCTTCAGTTGTAACAGTATTTCCCCCCTCCTTTTAAAAATAAAACACAGTCTGTCCAACATTTCCAGACAGTCAGCTGATTGAACATGGGGAGAATGTGCATGGATTTTGTGGGGAGTACACTGTTTGGAGCGGTGGCTTTTCTGGTGTCAAGTGCAAGTTATGGTTTCAGTCTTTGAGGGTTGCTGCAGCTGCTGCCCAATCCCTTGCCCCATGTAAGAGCAAGGAGGCAGTGCCACTGCTGCATTTTGTAAAGCTGTTTCTGTGCATAGTGCTGGCATTCCTAGGATGCACTGCTGTCATTTTCTTTGCAGAAAGTGTTTGCAAATTCACTGCTCAAGCTCCAAATTATAAAAATAACCCCAAACCCATCTAAATCTTATCTGATAAAGAATAATTCACTGCAACAAGTGCCTCCTTTACAGTTATACATCCAAAAGCCTTGACATAAATGAGTTAATTTTTCCAAGTTAGTTTTCCCCAAATTTTCCCAATACATAAAAGAGCTTCTCTGTCCTCCCTGCTCTCCTGCCAGACCTGCTATGCCTCTGCAGTCCAATGCTGCAGCCTGCCCTGGGCATTCCCTGATCTGCAGCTACCTCACCAACTTGTCCTCACACAGAGACCTGGGGTCAGAGAGCCACCACACCACCATGCTACAGCTGAGGATGCTTCTCCTTGAGCACATACAACCTGAAGGGAACCCTCCCCTGCATCCTCCCAGGGCTTGATCCTCCACCAACAGATGGCTCTGCCTTGGACTGCTCTGAGAACAAAACTGCATCAGGGGAATCCTGCCCACAAAAAAAGTGGGTATTGCTCTTAAATAGCAGAATAGAGATGCTGCCTTACAAAGGGAAGGTGAATTAAAGCCTAACAGATGAAGCAACCACCACTCACAGTTTGCTCATCAGTGTCCCAAACGCACCAGAAGTGGCAGGAACTTCCCAAACCAAACACCATCTCTGACTGCTCATAATACAGCATGTCAGCTCTTGGTTTAGGTCCCCTCTGAACGGGTGTCAGTCAAGGCCACCCTAAGCCACTGCTATATCCCAGACTGCCATCCATTGCAGGGGACGGCACCTCTGGGAGCAGCTGCTGGCAAGCTCCACCTTTGGGTACCAGCAGGCAAACAGAAAAAAGGAGATGGCAAAGAAGCCTCCTTTTCTTTCTCTCCCTCCATCAAATCTCTCACTGAACACCTGATCCTGAAACACTGTGCAGGGCAATACTGCAAGAAGATGCAGAGAGCTGAATTCTTCCCGCTCTGGTTTCTCCTTGAGCTTCTGAGCAAGAAGTCAGCATCACCCTGCTGCAGCCATCTTATGCTCCCCAGTTCCTCACTCAGGCTTCTGTCGTGCAGCCAGAGTGGGAGAAGACAGGTAAATGAAACTTAAAAGTCTCCTTTCATTCCTGAGCTGCAACTACATCTTGCTGCAATAATTTCAGAGCCATCTGAGACCATACATACCTGGGCAGCATCCAAGCAGGCTGCTCTTGTTTTCTCTCTCATCCTCTTAACACAGCTATGATATATCAGAGGCACGTGGACTACATGCCTCCCTCAGCATTTCTGCTTTGCTTTGACTTAAAAACACAGACAACATTTACCTGGGACCAGCAGCCCTCCTTTGAAGGGCAGGAGCAGATCCCCACATTTATTCCCTTTGTGGAAGCAACCACCACAGGGGTGCATTAGGATGTAGATTCATTAGGACCACAAAAATGCTTCCCAAATTTCAACACTGCCTACCTAACAGAAAAACAAGAAAATTTTATTTTTGAGATGAGCAAAGAGCACTTCTCACGAGTGGATATACTTTGAGAGACACGATACGTACACATGGCATCTTTCTGCTGAACTTTCTTCACTTTAATCAGTATCTACTCTTCCCATCACTCTGAAGCCAACAGATCTGTTAATAAGAGGCCAGAGCCGATCCTGTGCAATGCTTTGTAAGCGACTGACAAAAAATAAACCCCACAGCTCAATTAGCAGGTCTTATGTGACAGTCACTAAGGAGTTAGGAGAAAACATACATGATTCAAAGGAAGAATATAAACCATGGACCACTTTACTGAGGGATGATCAATACAAAACACTGTCATCACTTCACATCCCTTTTCTCCCAGCAACTGCACTGATTGCCGGGATCCTTCACAAAAGGCTGAAAGTAGGATTCTTTTTTCTTTTTTGCTTACCAATTCCTGAATGCTTGTTAAGTATTAAGAAATTTGTACCACATCTTTACCAAACATGGATTGACTTAGTTTCTCTCCTGTTAACAAAACAGAGCCCTTTCTTTTCTCAGGCTGATTTCAATTTGGGGTTTTATTCTGTTCTAATCCAAATAGATTTTGTTGTTGTAACAGAAGACAGGCTGTAAGCCACTGAAATAAAAATGGAAACAAAACTCCACTGATTTCCAAGTAACCATAAATTTCCATCACCATAGAACAGGGTAAAAATGGGATGGGAGTTGATCTGATTTTAAAAACTTCAAAAAAAACCCTTATTCAACCTCTCTACTAAGAAAATTTACTTACAAAAAAAGCAATTACTTACAGAAAGCAATGAAGCCCCGAACAATAGCATCCAAACCTTCAGTCCAAATTTCTGCCCTGTTATTCAGCCTCACATCAGACAAGAGAAGCTGCCCCAGGAGCCCACACTGCAGACAGTCAGAAACTCCAACCAAGGCTTCCTGAGCAGGGTCTAATGTAGCCCTGCCTGGTCCACCTGCAAAACTGCAAATAAGCCACAGCTGATGCAAAATCACAGCTCAAACCCTTTACCAATGCACAGAAAAAGGTCATAGTGCAGATGCTCCTTAAATATACACTTTTTTTTGGGGGGGAGGGGTTTATATATATGTAAAAGCTCCTGGCCAAGCTGCGTTGGAACAAGTGTGCAGGTATCTCCTGTGGTATAAAACTTCCTTTGAAGCTATTTTATCACATCAGGAAAGAGCCAAATATTGGATAGTTTTCCATTTTGATGACAGGGCTGGGGTGTTGTGCACACACACAGAAACAACCTCACAGCCAATCTGTGTTCTTCTTTACTTTCAAAACACACAAGCACCCTCAAATCTTCACCAAGATTGTCTTTCAATGGCTTGGAAACAACAAACAAGGTTCAGATGGTGCTAATGGTCCATTCTGCTGACCATATTCTCAGTTAAATGCATTCATGTGGTTCATATCTGCAGTGAGATAATTATTCAGCCTATGTGGTAATACAATGCTGACTTTATTTTGTGGGTTGCAAAGAGGTGCCAAAGGCACTCAGCTGGTTCCAAAAGACTGGATTTGCTTGCTGTAAACATTTCTTGAAGTGTCTTTAAAAGAAAAAAAAAATTAAAATATTCTCCTTCTGTTTGGGCAAGCTTGAATTTCCCATGTAAAGAAAAACAGAAAAAAAAAGCTAATCACTCACAGCACTGGATTTCTTACATCCTGGGAATCTCAGTTCTTAATACTTCTTTGAAGTTAAGCAGTACTTCTGATACCTACAAAAGAGGGAAAAGCCATGTAAGTCAAGGAGAAAAGTAAAAGAGGAGAAAATAGCAGCCATCCCTTCCACTGTATGAGTGACAATTTAGCTTTTTCACCAGTAACCAGGAATGCTGACAGGAATTCCAGCAATTCCCTTTTCCACTAACCACCACTGACAAGCAGAATTTCAAAGATTTGGTCCTCCAGCCCCTTTTACAGTAACATGATAAACCTTGGGGCCCTCTTGGGAAAAAAAAACATCCACATTTCTTAGGCCAAGCAGACAGTGGAGAGCACTCACATGCTGATGTCCTAAGATACCACTGCTGCGGTTTGCACTGGAAATACCCACAAAACATCTGCTGCAGCTGACACGTACCAGAACAAACTCTTTGGCTATTGGGAGCTTAACAAAATGCCATCAAAACTGTCCTTCTCCTCCTTAAAGGGACTCATCTGCTCTGTCCCAAAGCTAAAGTTGGCTTTCCTCATTTTTACTTTTTTTTTTCCTCCTAAAAGAACAGGAGAGGAAGGTTTAGCTTCAGCAGCTGCAAGAGCAGAACTGATAGAAAAAATTCCCCTTTGGCAGTGGCTGTATACGCACCTGAAAAACACTGTGCCTGAGGGTCTGCAAGAACGGTAAAGAGATAACAAAATGGTCATGGGACTGTTCTGAGTAAAAGAAACACAAGCGGCAAACCACCCTGCTAGCCCCCCAAGAAAAGAGGCAGAAACTTATTGATTGCTTCAGCAGCACCATGAGCACAACTTGCATTGTCAGTTCAAGCTTTTCAAACTCGGTATTTGAGTTTGAAGCTCCAGACTCTGTTATCTGGCCAGAGGAAGGTCAGCTGGCAAACTCGAAAGAAATCCCTTGGAGTCTTTTGCTCCTTCCCAGCAGGTTAGGTTGGTATTTTTCTGGGTCTTTTCAAAGGAAGATATGACTTGATTTCCTGAAAGAGTATATTGGCTACTGGAGGAGCTGGGAACCCAGAAGCTATTACACAACCATAACCAATTTTTAAGAGCTTAGACTAGAAAAAGCTGCATGTTTATTCATAGATTAAAGGGAAGCTGCTTCCCCCTTTCCTCTGTCTCAGAGTAAGGCAAAAAAAAGCCACTTTCACTGAATTGTAAAAGAGAAATAAACACAAGGGATAGCTGCAGATTTTGTGCTCTTGACACCTACATCACTTTTGGACTCAGCAGGCAACTTTCTGCTGCTCTTCCTCTCTCTTTTGGGTCAAATTCTCCATTCTCACATGGTAGGCTGCAAGCTTAGCATGAAGCTGTTTCTGTATTTAATGGGTTTAGTCTGGTTATCTTTATAGCAAAACTGCTATGTGAAATTCTGCTTTTTCAGTGCTGTGTCCAACACATAGAAGTGATCCTACAACCTGCCAACAGAATTAAAACAACCCTTATGAGTAAAACACTTTCAAAGAACAACAAAATCACCTACTGTGCAACACAGGTCCCTATCCTTCCTCTGATCTCTCTGCTTAGAAATTTAATTAAAATAAATATGTATGTATGGAGCTGTTGCTTCTTAGGACTGTATAATGAGCCTCACAAATTTTGGTGCTTTTCCTAAAGACCCAGCTGGTGAAGCTTCTGCAAGGATCTCCACTTTTGGAAACATAAAGCAGGAAGAAATCTCCAGAGTTATTAAATCCAATCCCTTGCCGTTGTACTCGTACCGCATGATCCTCTTCAGAAAGTATGCAAAAAGTTTCTGCCCCTCGTGGCTATGAGAACATGATTTGGGTTTAATATAACAGCTCAGAAACAAGTTGGTAATATATGTATATAAATATATACATATTTCAGATCTTTCAAGCTACTTCACGGTTCTGGGAGATCTGCTACTGCTTTTGAATGCCTGGAGTTAGGCAATAGTGCAATGACGGAGTCACAAACATGTTTCATATAGAAACACCGAATTTTTTTCAACAGTTAGATAGTCACTGACAAAAACCTTGCCTGAGTTTGTTTGTCTTAAGCATCCCTGCGTGGGCAGCTCTTGAGCAGCCTCCTGTTGGGGGCATGCTTATTCCAAGCCAGCACAAGGCAGGAAAAGCAGCTCTCCTTGACATGACAGCATCACAATGCCGGGATCGGGCAAATTCAGACCAGACCTCCATACTGCACAGGAGGGCATTCACATGCAGGCATCATGATCTCACCTACATGAGCTGTGCCACACAAACACCTCACAGTAATGAACAAGAGCTGGGGAGATCTGTATCTGCTGGCTCCCATGTGGTGTCACAGTGAGTACACATACAGAACAGGTAACTGTGGTTTGTGAGTTACCACCCACCTCCTGGTTCACAGGAATTGCCTGTTTGTTTGTTTATGTGGTCCACAGCACGCAGTGAATGATTCCAGCTACCCCAGCCATCCTTCATTCTCTGCATCCCGAGCAGGAGACTCAGCCACCAGCTGCTTCATTATTCTAGATGCTTTCCAAAAAAAGTAACATCTCATGGCAAAACAAAATAAAATAAACAAAAAGGCTTTTAAAACACTTGATAAACACCAGCACTCCACGTGGTTTCTGCAACCCAGACACTACAGCACTAACCACCTGAAAATGGGATTAGTTTGCTTTGTTCACCATGAAATTTCTCACGAAAAATGAGATTGTTGAGGTATCTTTAGTGAGCTAAAATGTAAATGTCGAGCTGCTGTTACAGCATGGAAGAGAAATAATGGTACTTTTTAGATGCTTGACAGAAAAGTTCCTTAGAGACTCCCTCAACCTACAGAAATGATCAATTTTGCAAAAGAACATTTTACAGAGAGAAACGGAGTTGGGAGCCCTGAAAGCACTTGCTTTTCCCAGCTGCGCTCAAGATGAAGGAAAATAAAACCCACACTCCTCCAGACCTCTTTTCCTGAAAGATGCCAGCTCGGTGGTCTAAATCCTGGGGTCAGCTGAAAGCATTGCCATGGAGCAGGTCATGCCAACCCTCCATGGCCCCACCAGGCTTTGGTGCTTCCCCCCAGCACTGCTGGTGTGCTGGTGATCCATCACCATGGCTCGACTGCCCCAATGTCCAAAATCTGTGGTACAGGCAATAGGTCAGGACAAACTTCCTTCATGAACCTGATGGGCCCAGGGTTGTTGCTTTCCTCTGCTGCTGGCTCAGCGAGGCAGGAATAGCCAAGGCCGGGGATGCAGAGTGAGGCACTGGCAGCCACCCATTATGTCCGTGCTCTTCACCCCCCAGCATTTGTTTTGTACCAGGCATTTATTAACTTTTCAGTGCAGCTTATACCTCTATTTCCCTAAAAACTACCATGATCAAAATTACCACCTTAGCAATCTGAATTACTTCTAACAGCAGACTAGAAATGCTTTCTATCGAATTAAATATGCACAGCTGTGTCAGAAATGGGGGGTTTGCAGCCTCTCGATTGCAGACTGTTATTACAGCATGATTAGCAGATACAAACGTTCCTGAAAGTCGTCTTGTCTCCACATGCTGAAAATCCCAGTTATCTCAACAGATCCCAAGAGCCCCAACAACTCCCGGCTGCTGGTCCAGCCCTCATTAAACATTTATCAAACCCGGCAGACTGCAGAGCAATGGAGCATCATGCTCATGAGCATCCTTACCTTCAACATCTTTTCACAAAGCTAATAAAATTAACCCATCCCTGCCCCCATCCCTACAACAGACTCTTAAAATACAACTGAAAGTTTCCATCAAACACCTACTGAAAAAGCCACTAAAAACCCCTTAGTGCTCTGAGGTCTCCACATAAGTGCACACACACTGTGCAGACAGTGATGCTCAGAGAGGCCATGGGATAATCCCTCCCACCTCTCCATCCCCAGCGGTCTTATCCCTGTGCCACTTGGCATTCAGCTGCCTTTCTCCAGCCTTTTGAATGAAGCTGAAACAGAGATGGGTATTTCCACATCACAGCAGCTGCTGCTGGCAGCCCCTGAGCTCCCCAGGAAAACCTGGCGCTGACCTGGAAAACACAGAGTAGGAGGCTCCTGCCAAGGGTTGTCTTCTCCACCGAGGTAGGGTGACAATCACTCTCAAAAGGTCTTAATCCACACTGTACCATTCGCAGGTATATGTGAGCAGAAGCTGTCCCATAGAGTCATTCCAAGGCCGTACCATGCTGCAGCTTCCCAGCCTTTCCTTCCTCCAGGTAAACTTCTATTATCTACAGGAATGGGCCAAACTCCTCTTTGCAATGCCTTCTTAATATTACCAGCTGCTTTTGGAAATATTCAGAAGCATAAAAATAAGCAAAGAGCAAGTAATAGCAAAATAAGAGTACATAAGAGCAAAAAGTGAATAAGCTATCTTCTAAAAAAAATAAAGGAAAAAACTTCATAGGTTTAGGCCCATTTTCAGCGTGCAGCACTGCCACAGAAACTACTGTCCCTCTCTTAGAGCTTTAGAAGATTTCAGAAAACATGCTGGAAGCCTGGGCAGCTACTGAGGTTCCCTTTGCCTGACTGGCACCCCCAGGGGATTGCTCCAACTCTCGGCCACAGGCTGCTCAGGTAAGCAGCTCTTACCTTGAAGCTGGTAAGAAGAAGTGGTTTGGCTGCCAGCAACAGCTGCAGTTGGCTTCAGCTGCAAGGTGAAACGGGCTAGCGAGGGTCCTGGCCTGACTTCCCTGGCACTGGACAGACAGATGGACAGTGACTCTTCCACTTCTCATCTCAGTGCTCTCTTAAAACATATGCAAACAAATAACAACATTAACTCCATGGCCCAGCACAGGGGGATGATCCCCCACGTCTTCACTGAGGTCCTACAGCCTTTCTGCACCTCACTTTCCATTGTTGTCTAGTTCATCAGGAACCAGAGCACTGAATCAGAATGAAAGAGAATGGAAAAGCATCGCTCCAAGCAGATTATATTTACTTTTCAACACATCCCCCAGTTGCAGATGTCAGCACAGAGAAAGGTATATTACTTTTTTTGCCTATCTCCTTAACTGTTCCTAGCTTCCTTCAACAAATCAAAGTGTTTTCTTGAAGGGTGAGAAATCTTAGTCTCATATACTATTTTAAATTGGCAGCAAGGGCTTTAGAAAAAGAAGAATATCTGACCGCATAAGAAAATTCAACCAGAGAGAGACAGTGACGTCCTGTAGGATTCTGATGAACAGAAAGTTCATTATTAATTTATTTGGCCTTTAGTAAGGTTAAACTATTTCACATTATTTCTCTTAAACCTTGCATTTCAGGCTGTCATCCTCTGGTTAGTTACCTACTTGGCCATAGTAATAAATGTGCTGGAAAATAGTTGTCAGACCCTTCTCTGCCAGAACCATGATTGGTAACTGTTTTCCAACACAGTGATTGCTGTACTGTTGTTGGACACTTTTGCTGCCCAACATACATACAGCAATAACTTTTATTTTATTTTAAACAACCAAGATGTGGACTGTTAACCTGCTAATTAATTTTCAACACCATGGGATGTCCTCTTACGGAGTCATAGAATCATTTAGGTTGGAAAAAACCTTTACGATTGAGTCCAACCCTTAACTCAGCACTGCCAAGTCCACCACTAAACCACATCCCTAAGTGCCACATCTACACATCTTTTAAATATCTCCAGGGATGGTGGCTCCAGCACTTCCATGGGCAGCCTGTTCCAGTGCCTGACCACCCCTTCTGTGAAAATCTTTTCCTAATATCCAATCTAAACCTCCCCTTGGTGTAACTTTAGGCCATTTCCTCTTGTTCTGTCACTTTTACCTGGGAGAAGAGACCAACCCCCCAGCTACGACCTCCTTTCAGTTAGTTGTAGAGTGATAAGGTCTCTCCTGAGCCTCCTTTTCTCCAGACTAAATAACCCCAAGTTCCCTCAGCTGCTCCTTATAAAATTTGTGCTCCAGACCCTTCACCTGCCCCACTGCCCTTCTCTGGACACACTCCAGCACCTCAATGTCTTTCTTGTAGTGAGGGGCCCAAAACTGGACGCAGGATTCGAGGTGCAGCCTCATCAGTGCTGAGTACAGGGGGACAATCACTGCCCTGGTCCTACTGGTCACACTATTTCTGATACAGTCCAGGATGTCGATGGCCTTCTTGGCCACATGGGCACACATTGGCTCATGTTCTTGGCTGTTGACCACCACCCCTCGGTCCTTTTCCTCTGGGCAGCTTTCCAGCCAGTCCTCCCCAAGCCTGTAGTGCTGCAGTCCCTGTGTTCAGATTCATCCAGGTGTCAGACAAGTTTGCTGGAGGGACATGGTGTAAGTTGTACACTAAGGACACAGGCAAGAAATCACACGCTCCTTCCTCTATCCACTAAATATCCGGGCCCATAACAACAGGTGGAAAAGACCAAAAGAGAGAACTGAACACAATACAAAAACATGCTACCCCACATCAGTCCCCACGGTCCAAATGCATGTGTCAATTTGGAAAGGACAGGAGTCATCCTTCGAGACTGTCTCCAAGAGCAGGCAGGTAGGAAAAGTGTTGTGAGCAGCAGCCCATCAGCACAATTTCACATATGGACGATGCTGGACTGCAACCAGAAACATCACCAGCTATTTTCACTGCTTAGATCCACTGTCAGAGTGACACAATTCAAGGCCTCCCAATACGACTGTTAGGTTTGGCCTGGTCTCTCCAGTTTCAGCCTGATTTCCTCACCACATGACACAGCCCAACAGCAGTCACTCTTTTCTCCTGCTCTTAATTCACTCCCTCTTTTGTTTCCCTTCACCCTCAAGCTGAAAAGAAAAATGAAACAAACAACTTAAAAAGGAAAAAAGCAAAACTGATCAAGACCAGACAATGACTACATTTTGCTCCCACAAAAATAAATACAAGGGGAAGGGGTTTCCCTGTGCTGGCTGTTTAGACTATTCCAACTTTTGGCTGTAAGCATCAACGTGTTTGCAAATTCCTGCCAAACACAGCAGCCATCAGTATAAAAGGGGTAAAATAAAGAAATGAGCACAGGGTGTAAACATAAAAAAAAACAATCACTTTGCTCCTCTCAGATAATTGTATTTATGCTTCATTCACTCATGAAGACCAGCACCGTTACGTCTCATTGAGTCTCTTACTTTCACTAAGAGCATCCCTGTGCCTTATCTGGATAGTTCAGTCAGATGCACCTGGGTCAGCAGCCCCACATATTTGGGCCTTGTGACCTATTTTCAGCTACACATAATCACAGAGCCACAAACAGCCCATAGGAAAGGCTGCCTTATATGTTGCTATACGTTCCTGCTCGGTGCTGAGCTTCAGCTGCTCTCCTTACTGCAACCTCCTGGAGGTCCAGTTTGACTGCAGCATCTCCTGGGGCACATTCCTGCCTGCTGCACTTCTCCACCCTGCACAGCCCCAGCACTGTCTCTTCAGTCCCCCCACGCTCCAGCAAATGGAGACAAAAGGGGAAAGTCTGCACACATCAAGCACTTAAAAAATGGGTTCAGTCCCAAGGACTGGGAAAGCTTGTGGAAATCTCCACAAAGCAGTTGTTTTTGAGGTCTTTTCTCTCTATCCTAGGGACAGGCAGCACAGCCTGGGCACTGCGTCTACTTATTCTACTCATAATCAGTAACTCTGGGCCCATCCTTCCCCTCCAGCTACACTTTAAGGCCAAGAATACAAAGGGATGGAATGAAACTCTCCTACAGCCTGCCAGTCTTTCAGTCCTACAAATCCGTCCTACTGATTTATCACCTTCACTGCACCAATGCCTGCATTGAACACTGATTTATTATGTGTCCTGGTCCACAGCCCTAAACAGCCTGGGTTGTTTTTGGAAGCCAAAGCAACAGAGGTTCAGATACTCAGTGTGTGATTCCTGCAGATCTAAGTTCTGTATTGGAATCAAATTAAAATTTGGATCCTCCTTAGCTTGAGAGGTGGGCCCATGGGAATCTCATGAGGTTTAACAAGACCAAGTGCAAGATGCTGCACTTGGGCTGGGGAAACCACCAGTCCAGGCTGGGGGATGAACAGATCAAGAGCAGCCCTGCTGAGAGGGACTTGGGAGTGCTAGTGGATGAAAGACTGGACATGAGCTGGCAACGTGAGCTTGAAGCCCAGAAAGCCAAACGTGCACTACCAGCAGGTCGAGGGAAGTGATTCTGCCCCTCTACTGTGCTCATGAAATCCCATCTGGAGTGCTGCATCCAGCTCTGGGGTCCCCAAGGAAGGGCACTGCCCTGTTGGAGCGAGTCCAGAGGAGGCCACAAAGACGATCAGAGGGATGGAGCACCTCTCCTATAAGGAAAGGATGAGTCAATTGAGGTTGTTCAGTCTGGAAAAGAGAAAGCTTCAGGGTGGCCTAATTGCAGCCTTCCAGTACCTGAAGGGAACTTACAGAAAAGATGGGGCAAGACTATTTAGAAGGGCATGCAGTGACAGGACAAGGGGGAATGGCTTCAAACTGAAAGAGATTGGGTTTAGATTAGATATACTGAAGAAATTCTTTATTGTGGGGGTGGTGAGGCACTGGAACAGGTTGTGGATGCCCCATCCCTGGAAGTATTCAAGGTCAGGTTGGATGGGTCTCTGAGCAACCTGGTCTAGTGGGAGGTGTCCAGGCCCATGGCAGGGGTTGGAACTAGATGACCTTTAAGGTTCCTTCCAACTCAAACTGTTCTATGATTCTACCGGAAAACATCTGGAGCAGCAGATACTTTTCACAGCTTTCTATCTGATTCAGGATCTAGGACATAATTACATTTCTGAGAGAGAACCCTACTACTACTTGGATACACCTTTGCCACTCACTCCAGTAGGAGCAAGTTTGAATGAAGCAAGATAACATGCAATTCACACCCCGCTGAGAAGAGCTGTTCAGGAGAAATGCACTTTCACCTTTTAAAAATCGGACAAAATCAGATTTCATATAAAATTTATCTTATCTTTCCACACAACCAGCAATATGACATTAAATTTCTTCTGTCTCATGGTATATTTAATGAGGGGGAAAAAACGTACAAGTGCACACCCCTTTCTCCAGTGCTCCTTGTTATTCTTCCAGAACAATTCTTCAAAGCTGCTGAGATCACTGTATGTTACCTCCTTTTTGAAGGATCAGATACATTGCATCAAAAAGCATGCAGGAAAAGTTCTAGGGCATGAAACCAATTTTTGCACACTTTTATCTGGGTCAGCTTTTCTATTGATTCTGCAAATACCATACCATTTTTTAAAGTTAAGGTTTTTTTAGTTTAAAAAGAAGAAAAAGAGAACATCAGAACTTAATTCAAACATCCATCTGAGCCAAGGATTAGTTTTGTTGGGTGACTCCAAATCAAAAAGGTATATATTTTTTTTAATAATAAAGTCCAACTAACAGTGAAAGAGCATCGGATAGATTTCTAAATTCAGTAAATGGCCTCTTCCCATACTGCTTCTGTTTTCATTAATACTATTTAACTTCTTTGCTTCTAGGTGCTCAAAACTTAACGAGACAAACACTCACTCATGGTTTACCAATAATTCATTTCCTCCTTTCTCTGCCCCTCTGCCAAGTCTTCCTCCATGGTTATGAACTATTTGGCACAGCCCCCAGCTTTGCTTTATGTTGTTTCATCAAGACACCTAACGTGTGTCTTGAGGTGCTCTGAAATAGAAATAATAAGTAAGAACTGGCCTCGGGTGACAAAAAGAGCAGATCCTATTTTGGGAGGAGATGACTTCCTGAAGACATCTTGAAGGTCTCATATCAACTTCATCTGTACATGCATGGGAAATGGAGAAAGGACACTTCTAGGAGGATGCCTACAAACAGTTGACAGATTATAGTAGGAGAGACTCCCAAAATTTGCTTGCAACTTCAGATGACAGCAGAAAAAAATAAATAAAGTAGTTGGGAATTCTAATTAAGTTTTGGTGAAAATAAAGAGCTAATGAATGGCTTTCAAGTGCTTTTCCAGAATGGAATGCTTTTACTTTTGAGAGATGCTTTTTGCATATTTTGGTGGTCGTGTGATGCTAGGAACAACAATGTCCAAGAGCCTGATTATCAAGTGTGCTTCTGCTGGAAGCCTGGTGCCTGCTTTGACAAGACCTCGTTTCACAGGGATCTGGGTGCGTGGTGAGCAGAGCACATGCTCTTCCAAATCAGAGCTCAAGAAGGATCTGAATAAGCCCAGCGTTTCTTTCCTGGCTCTGGCATGCTCAAGACCCAGAGGATTGTCTGGGCAGATCCATCAACCTTTTTACATTCCCTTTTCTCAGCATGGAGAGCTGGGATGGAAAGATGAGTAATGGTTTCCATCACACCCTCTGTGTGACACAAACAAACCCCCCAGCCTAACAGATTTCTGATAGGCAAATGATTAAACCCCAACATGTACTTGCCACAAGTAAACGCCACAAGTAGTTAAGCCTTGTCTTCATTAGAGACACCATGCCAGTCCTGCACTAGGCTGCTGCAAGCTGTCTCCAACATTGCACATCTACAACCAAAGAGCTTCAGAAAAGTGAATTGCCCTCTCTGCAGCTGGGCTGGAGTCCCCTTGCCCAAGGATGACCCTGCTTCCAGAACCCCACCCTGCTGTACTCCATCCACGGCC